AGTAAGAGACATAATAAATAACATTGAATCATTTATCGAACATACATACCATTGACTCGTCCAAATTCAACAAATCCACCTGCCTTTTGAATCCTGGCAGCTTCGCCTAGAAACATACATTTAAATAATAGTAATAATAATAATAATCATAATAAAAATAAATGTGATAAGTAATAATAATAATAAATTTTGTAACAATATAAAAATATTATAAAAAAAAAACGAGAGAGAGAGAGAGAAAATTACCTTGGTTAACAGGTTTATGATCATCTGACATTTGGACTGCTTCACCATCTACACTAAGAACAGCACGAGAATCTCCCGCGTTTCCCTAATGATTGACGAAAATTGGCTAAACAGAAACATCGGACTACTAACATCAACGTATAATGAATATGTGAACTTACGACGTATATTTCATTATTTGGTGTTACAATAGCCATAACTGCAGTACATCCCGAGGGATCATTTGCAAATTGAGGATCTAATATTTTAAAGATGTTATGTTAAGAACATTAAAACATTAAGGACAAAGATGAAGTTATTTTAAACTAAATGATACCATTCTTTAGATCATCGTCTGTTCCCAAAAAACCATTCTGTATGGCCGTTTTAAGATCTGTATCAAAGTCTTTATCTTTTGCAATCCGAGCGTGAAGATTACTGCCACTATATTTTGCTACATTTTGTCCTATAATTTAAAAAAATAGAGAGCAAATAATAAGATATCTTTCCAATTACACCATTCTGCAGTAAAAAAAAGAAAAAAAGGTTATTACGCAAACTGATAGAACGAATAAAAATTTATAAAGAAATTTACCACCGTGGCCGTCGTAAACGCCAAAGTAACTATATCCTTTTTTATCAAGAAGTTTTAGTGTAGCAGTATGTGCGTCTTCCATACTAATACGCCAGCCTTGCATAGCAGAAGAAGCATATAGTATACGGTCGTCATGACCAGAAACTGTATGTTTTTCTTTAACCGGCTCGGAAAGTGTCTGACCCATTATACAAGCCTGAAACGGTAAGTAACACGAGTAGATTAAGATATTTTAAAGGTAAATTTAAAAACTATATAGAAATCTTTGTGAAATCGTTAATGTCACTGGTAGGCCGTGTATTTGAAGTTCAGAATGAGAAATAAACCAATATTCTTTTTGTTTTTTTTTTTTTTTGTTTTTTTTTTTACTTGTTCCCTCTTTTTTTTTTTTGTCTTGAGTGACGTTTAATATTACAAGAATATATAATAAATTCGACAAAGTGCTTGTTTTCTTAATTATCATAAAGTTGAAAACACGTCAGCAACTCGTACCTTTTTTTATGAAAAAAATTCAAAATAACTTTTCTTTAGCGAAGAATGAAATCCAAAGAATGTGCAACACAAAATTGTCTATTTGGTGATTTAATTGCCATGTTTAGTCGTACGAATAATCATTAGCCAGAATATTTAACAAATACAACAATCATTTATTAAGAATGTATATATATATTAATGAACAGATGATGAGTCATAATTCATTAAATCCTTACCTAAATACCAGGAATTTAAAAATGTACTATGATATTTTGTAAGCTCTATATATACTTTTTTTTTCGAATTTATAATTTATAAGTAACTCAAATAAAATAAATAATCACACAAATATTTGTAAGATTTAAAACATGACATGATCATCTCAATAATAGCGATAGGTTCGGAATCTACATATGATTTCAAGCATATGTATCTTTATTAATGCTTTATCTATTAATATTTACAATATAAAATGATAGATAACAGCATATAAAAGATGTAGCTAAGGGATTCATAAAACTGGTATTTAAATACCGAATTACATGAATTACAGGAATTTTACAAGTTCTCCGATAAAAAAATGATTAACTGCTCATGGAAACTTCAGAAACTTCTATCGGTACAAAGAATTCTGAGAATGTTCTAATGATGGGGATTTGTTGAATTTGGACGAGTCAATGGTATGTATGTTCGATAAATGATTCAATGTTATTTATTATGTCTCTTACT